CTCAAGGGCCACAATGGGTTCTTAAACTGGACTGGAGGGCTGGAACAAAAGCATGGATGGAGTGTTTGTGTGAACTAATATAAATTCAAAGTAAACATCATTACATAAAAGGGTACGGTCTTTTTTTTTTTAGTTTTATTCATTTCAAACGGGCCGGATCCGGCTCGCAGGCCGTAGTTTGCCCATGGCTGGTCTAGTGGTTATGAATTTCCTCAGCTTTTGTTGTGCAAGAAAGCTTTTACCCTCCATTTCTGAAGGTCAGCTTTGCAAGATATAGTATTCTTAGTTGACAGTTTTTTTTTCCTTCATATTTTGAGTATGTCATCCATTCTCTTTTGGCCTGAAAGGTTTCTGTTGAGATGTACACCAAGAGTCTTATGGAGGTTCCCTTGTATACAATTTATCTTTTCTCTGGCTGCTTTTAAAATTTTATCTTTGACATTTGATAATTTAATCATAATGTGTCAGCATAGCTTTGGGTTCAACCTATTTGGGGGTCTTTTGGGCCTCTTGAATCTGGATGTCTATTTCTCTCCCCACATTTGGCAATTTTTAAGCCATTATTATTTTAAACTAGAGGCCCGGTGCACAAAAATTTGTGCACTGGAGGGGGGGGGGGGTCCCTCAGCTCAGCCTTCCCCCTATCACATACTGGGAGCCCTCAGGGATGTCCTACTGACGGCTTAAGCCCGCTCCCTGATCCCCTTGGGGAGCGGGCCTAAGCCACAGTCTGGCCTCCCTTTGTGGGAGGCGACCTGGCTGATCAGGGGAAGGCACCAGCCCCATCACCCTGCTGTTGCAGCCACTGCCAGTCACCGCAGCCACCAATCCCTTCACCATGAAAAAATGACAGCTTTCTTTAGGCATTTTCAAGATGTGTCTTTCATAGGATATGACATTTCTTTCTTTCTTTCTTTTTTTATCCTCACGTGAGGATATGTTTCCATTGATTTTTAGAGAATGTGGAAGAGAAAGGGAAAGACAGAGAAACATCAAAGTGAGAGGAACACTTAGATTGGTTGCCTCCTGCATGAGCCCTGACCTGGGCCTGGGCCAGGGAGGAGCCTGCAACCTAGGTACATGCCCTTAGTCAGAATTGAACCCAGACCCTGCAGTGGGCAGGCCGAGGCATTATCCACTGAGCAAAACCAGCTAGGGCAGGATATGACATTTCTTAGCCCTCCAGCAGCGGACCTTCCTTTTTATCTCCAGGAGTGTGGTAAAAAACCCTAGATCACCTTATTGGATTCTTATTACCCAAGTTACTAAGAATATTACCAGTAGCATACAGGGAGCTTAGCCAATGAGCAGTCATAAAAGGTGTTTCCTCTGTGGTTCACACCAATTGCTGGCTCGGCCCCTGCCCAGGCCTAACGCCTCTGGCCCAGTCATTAGGCCTGGGCAGAGGACCCCCAGCTCACGCAATAGCCCGCTCCGCCCCTGCCCAGGCCTAACGTGTGTGGCCCAGCCCTTAGGCCTGAGCAGGGGACCCCCAGCTCCCCACCATCGCTGGATCCACCCCTGCTCCCCGTGATCGCTGGCTCTGCCCCTGCCCAGGCCTAATGCCTGTGGCCAAGGCATCAGGCCTGGGCAGGGGACCTCCAGCTCCCAGTGATCGCCAACTCCGCCCCTGCCCAGGCCTAACGCCTGTGGCCGAGGCATTAGGCCTGGGCAGGGGACCCCCAGCTCCCCGCGATCACCGACTCCGCCCCTGCTCTCGCCAACTCCGCCCCTGCCCAGGCCTAACGCCTGTGGCCGAGGCATTAGGCCTGGGCAGGGGACCCCTCAGCTCTGATTGCAGGCTCTGATTGCTGCTGGGCGCCTACTTATGGAAATTAACCGCCATCTTTGGTTAATTTGCATACTCATCCGATTGGCTGGTGGGCGTAGCAAAGGTACAGTCAATTTGTATGTTTGTCTATTATTAGGTAAGATATGCTTTCTCTTCCTCTCTGGAATTCCCAGAATATTGTTTCACTCTTTTTCATTCAGTTTTCTTTTTGTTTCTCTGACTGGATAAATTTCAAATGCCCTATCTTCCAGGTTGCTGATTCTCTGGCATGGTCTAGTCTGCTTCTGAAGCTCTCTACTGAATTTTCCCATTTAGTTATTGTATTTTTCAGCTCTAAGATTTCTGTTTGGGTAATTTTCTCAATGGTTTTTGTTGAACTTCTCATTTTGTTCACTCATTATTTTCCCAGTTTTGTTTAGTTGCCTGTGTATATGTTTTTATAGTTCACTAAACTTCTTTAAGAGGATTACTCTGAATAATTTGTCTGATAGGTCATAGATCTCTATTTCTTTAGGGTTATTAGTGCTTTATTAATTTTGCATAGTGGTATCATAGTTACCTGACTTTTCATGATCCTTGATTTCTTATGTTGATATCTGTGTACGTAGTGGTATTTTCTTCCAGACGTTGTTGAAGAACTCTGTGACAAAACAAATCTGCAGTCAGCTCACTTTGGGTTGTTGGATGTTTCTGCTACTAGAGTCTATTTTGGGGTGAGGCAATGGTTCAAGCTCTGAGGTCAGAGACTGGGGATGTGTGCCACTGGCTGAGAACAGCTGCATAGGACTACTGGCCTTTGTTCTCTGTCCAAATGAGGCTGTAGGATGGGCTCTGTACTAGTAGTTGCCTGTACTCTGTGGTCAGGATTACTACTACACAGTCAGGACTGTCTATACTCAGCAGTAGGTGGGGCTATGAATTAGCTGTGCAGGCCCTGGGTCCCATCCTGCTACTTCACCAGGATAAGGAAGCTCACTGTTAACCGGAATCTGGTAAGAGTGTACACTAGATATCCTGGTTAGGTGAAGCCACAGTTTTTATCTGCAGATAGGAAAAGCCACAAGCTATTCAAGGGCCACTGTAAGCAGTACTATTAGATGGTAGGGCAGTCTGAAGGCTGTATTCAGCAATGAGTGAGAGTATGAAAGAGCTTCTCTGCCCATGTGCAATGGGAGAAGCAGCTTCAAGGCCACTAAGGTTCTTCATTTGTGGTCTTCACACAAACTCACCTGTGCTTCAACTTCCCTGGCTGAACAGGACTACTTGTTTTGCTCTGGGGACCATCGCTTTGCTTACCTGCCTCTCAGCTTGAGCATTGCTGAGTAATATAGTTTCCAGGTAATATAGCCCTTCCTGTCTGGATGAGCCTTGGGAGGGTTCACTTCAGGCAACTTAAATTTTCTTGAACAGACTCTTTAGTCAGGAGGGGCCAGAAGCTAGGTTTCAAGTGTTTGGGGCTATGACACTCAATTCTTTAGCCTGGGCACGGGCAGACCAGGTTCCAGGACTGGCAAAACTTTTGGAGAACTTGAATCAGGCAGGCCTGCACTAGATTGAGTTCCCTGGTGACACTGTGCCACCAACTTGGTTCTGCAGACGCACAAAGCTGCTCACTGGGGCTACTACTTGGGCTTTGCAGGTACCAGGGAAGTCTACTAAGATCTGCATGTTGGTTGTTGGAGGCCCCTCCCCACTTCTCTACCACAGTCAGATTCCCAGTGGTTGAGTCCTGCAGATTCCCCTGCAGTCCCTGGGGTGAAACCTGAGTTAAGAGCTCCCAAGAAGTGACCCACAATACTCAAGGGTTTGGATGTCACTAAAGGCTCAGGGAAGACCTCTCTGTGCGATGCTGTACTGGCTTGGGGGCAGTCAGTCTTGGTCTTTGTGGTGCAGGGTGTACTTTAGCCTAGCATCCTGTGTTCTAGGATTCAATCATCGGTGTCTTATCCGTGAATTTTTGCTAGTTGGAAGTAAAGTCAGGACTGACCTGTGTTGCTATCTGGGTGACATCACTTTCTGCATATATTGAAGAGAGAAATCCTGAAATATATTCATTAAAAGCTGGTTTACAATTACCTAATGCACATGGTCACCAATTTGGTATTGTGTTGTAGAACCATCCTGGAGAACATGTCTTTGATCCTGCTTTGATTTCCCACTAAGTACCCAAGGCTCAAAATTAGGAGAGCTGGCCTTAGGCTGACAGTAGGTGACTAGAATTCCCATCTGTAAAATGAGGAGTCAAGACATCTCTCCTACAATAAACTTTAGGAAATAATATTCATACCTTTTGACAAAGCAGTTTTCCTTTTGGACATCTATGGCAAATGAACTGAAAAACAGAAGGAAATTTATATGTAAAAATGTCTCTTATAGCATTTTTTTTTTACAATTGTGAAGCAGTCTAAATGTTTGCCAATAGACAACTAATATTGTATTAACTAAACATAATTTGACAACTATTATAAATACAAAATGGGAGTTTATTTCAATGTAGAAAATGTCTAAGCTAAAATGTTAAAAGTAGCAAGATGCAAGTTTGTGCACATATTTGCAATTACATAGACTAGAAAACTATCTATATAATAAAAGCCTAAGCAACCATTACGGTGGAACTACCAGAATGACCAGTCGCTATGATGTGCACTGACCACCAGGGGGGCAGACGCTCAACACAGGAGCTCAGCCAGAAGCCAGGCTCACAGCTGGTGAGTGCAGCAGCGGTGGCAGGAGCCTCTCCCACAGTAAGAAGCGAGGGGTCCCAGACTGCGAGAGCCCCAGACTGCAAAAGGGATGTCTGACTACCGGGGATCAGGCCTAAGCTGGCAGGCGGGCATTCCCCGAGGGGTCCCAGATTGTGAGAGAGAGCAGGCTGGGCTGAGGGATCCCTCCCCCCCCCCCCAGTGCATGAATTTCATGCACCGGGCCTCTAGTATATAACATAACTGTTTATAATTGGATAGTAGTATAATTATACTATAATATTTTGACAGTATTGACTTCTAAAAGACACCATTCAAAATTATAATAGTGATTTATTGTCATTTTATTCTTGCAAATGATCAAAGTTGAAGGTCATAATTGCACACATAAATGTAAACACGCCAACCATAAGAGGTGCGTCTTTTTTTTATTTTTTATTTTTTGGTGTGTTTCCATCTTTGTGGAAAAAGCAAACCTGAATTTTTAAAAAAATGTCTCTTTACAGGTATTCCTTTGCCAAAAGAAGATGACATTTCTGCCCCCTTGATCTCCAGCTCACCAGTGAAAGAAGCCCGGGAGTACGAAGACCCCCCAAGCGAAGAGGAAGATAAAATAAAAGAAGAGCCTTTGACTATCTCTGAACTGTCATACAACCCCAGTGCAAGCCTGCTCCCCACCCCAGTTGATGATGATGAGATTGACATGCTCTTTGACTGTCCATCTAGGCATGAGTTGGAAAGAGAAGACCTAGATTCATTTGAGGAACTGGAAGCAGATGAAAATGCCTTTTTGATGGCTGAAGAAGAGGAGCTAAAGGAAGCTCACCGAGCTTTGTCATGGAGCTATGACATTCTGACCGGCCATATTCGGGTGAACCCACTGGTCAAGAGTTTTTCCAGGCTCCTTGTGGTGGGCCTGGGGCTGCTGCTCTTTGTATTCCCCCTGCTCCTCCTCCTTTTGGAGTCAGGTATTGATCTCTCCTTCTTATGTGAAATCCGCCAGACGCCAGAGTTTGAGCAGTTTCACTATGAATATTACTGTCCTCTCAAGGAGTGGGTGGCTGGCAAAGTAAACCTCATTCTCTATATGCTGGGTTGCTCATAAAATACATATCTCATATGACTAAGGGCTATATTCAATATTAGTGATGTGTATTTCTCAAGCAAATGCCTGGTTCTGAATGGTCAAGGAGCCGTCAACACGTGTTCCTTACTCAAAATTGATTATTCAGACCTTTAAGTTAGCTTTCCATAATTCACTGCACTTAATAAGTTTAAATCAAACACAGTAATTTCAGTTATAGGTCAGGGAGTTGGCCTCTAAATAACCCAAAATGTTTATTTTTATTACATCACAGGCAGACTCTTTATCTATTATAATACATAATACATCGAGTTGAATTAGAGTTCCCCCCTTTTTAATAGTTATCATCATTATAAGATATAAGGTTCAGAATCAGAATTTTAGTGAAAATTCAAGAGAAAGTTTTTGAATATAATCCTTAGTGAAAATAATGTCCTCTAACCAATGCCTATACTGTTAAATTAATGCTGGGTTTTTGTTTTTTTAAAAATATTTTTATGTGTTCAGAATATTTTGGTAAATTTTTAGCAAAAAACAAAAGAAAAAAAGAAAAAAAAAGAAGCCTCCTGGAGTTATTGTACAGACTGTAAGACTAATGCACAAAGGGTATGTTGGGAATTTTTTAATGTTTTGGCCCAGGTTTGTTTTTAAAAATAATTTTGGGTAAAAAAAATCCTATAATTTGTTGTTAGCTGCATATGAGATAGAAAATAGGTAGAAAGACTGTAGTAAGTAGGCTTCTAAAACAAATGATGGAACCGGAGGATGTAGAAACTGAGCATCAAATGGACCACAGGGTTCATTTTCAAAAGTATTTGGATGAGAGGACTTGTTACTTTCATTTGCATTCTGTCCATATATTTTGGCTAAGGAAGCAAAACTTTAAAGGAAAAAGTAAAGATATATGCCAATTAATTGCATGTTATTATACATTTATCCAAGAGTGGAAGCAGATGTTGGACAAATGGCAAGTAGCAAAAAACTGTTTTGGTGAGGCTGGTAGGCAAGCGGTGGTAGGAAGGTGATCTATTTTATGGAAGTGATGGTGATGCAAGGTATTGGATACTGTAAAGAACAGCACACTCGCTGTCCAAGTTGACATGAATATATTTAAGTGGATCTAAATAAAAGTGGAGAAATGTTAAGGTACATTTTTGGTTCCTCATGCCATTCATTGTGTTTCTGTGGAAGAAACTTTAAAAGAAGTATGTGTATGTGAGAGAGGGGGTGGGGAGAGAATGGATTCTGGCTTTTTGATAAATGCCAATTATCTTTTGTGATAGTAATTATATTCCTTTCCTGGTTTCCTTAAGAACTCATTCATAATTGGGGCTCTCATTAAGGAAGTGGACGGGATTCATTAAATGACATATTTCAGCTTGGGTGAAGTAGAGAGACTCAGTAGAAGGGACAAATGTTCTAGTACCTTCCTTCATACCATTAAATCCATGACAGAAAGGCTCTGATGCCTTCCCAGGCAGCATAATGACCAATCCTGTGGTATACCGTAAGTGAGAAAGGTAAGAGCAAGGAGGTTTGGATTTCTCCATGAATTGAAAATGTTCCATTGCCTTCATTTACAAAGAGATTGGGCTTCCTGTAATCTCTCCCTAACTCCAACGGAAACTTCAGTTTTATATTAGCATAATCTCCACTCTGGTCATTCCCATCCTACTTACTCATGGAGCTCTGAGTGCTTTATTAGATATTCAATTTTGAAAGTAAGTTTTAAAAGTTAGCTTATGAAGCCTTCAATTAAGCAAACTATAATCAATTTATTTTATATTAAGTTTGTAGGGTGTTCTTTCTCATGTGCTTTCTTTTTGCATTTTAATGTTTCATACCTGAAATTGGATAACAATATATACACATATATTTCCTATAGTTCATTTTGGAAGTTTGCAAATGACCAGCTTTGAAATTGAAGTTATTTCCCCCCTCCCTTTTCATACGACATTGAAGTCATACGTTCTGATAAAAGGGCCCACCAGTGTCCCCTTTCTGATTATGCTTCAATTTCTGACCATGCCAAATCATCTAGCTTTCGTCCTTTAAAATAATATTTTTAAATTATGGAAGAAATATATTGCCCTTCATAAAACATTTGAAAACTACTGACAGGATAAATATCACATGTAGTCCATCCATGTAGATCTATATTAATTAGTAATACATTTATTATTTTTACATTTCCAGCTAACATCTCTTTTTTCTCTTAGGCGAAAACTTGATTATTGAATAGAAATATTTTAAGTGAAGAAGTTGACAGGATAGGGTCGGCTGAATTTAAATAATAGTCACCAAAAGTAAAAGTGGGATAGAATAAGAGCCATTTTAGGAATACCACTTAAGTTTGGTAGAAGACTTGTCACCAGCTGCCTGAATGAAATGAGAAAAAGTCTGCTTCCAAGATGGAAAGTATATAATAATATAGTGAGATACAGTGGTCAAAGCAAGTGTGTGAGTATATGTATAGTCCATATTATTGGCATATGTGTTTATGTATGAATATATGTCACCCCACTGATATGCCCCTCATACACAGTTGTGTTTACTTTTTCCCAATTGAGGAATTTGTGATGTTATTATTCCTTTTCCCCTCTCAGTTATCATGGTGGATAAAACAGTCTCAAAGGTTTCAATTTCTCATGAAAATCACTGTGTGTACATAATTATATATATACACACATATATGGCAAATACATATACACACACAATCTTGTCTTTAGTGCTATTGCAAGTTGGATCATGAAAAAGTGTAGGTAAAGTATCGTGTTTCTGTCTGTGCTTGGAACATGTAAAATGTTATGTATTTGGAATATATTTTGTGGCTTGTCTAATATTTATAAAATCAACTCTGGGAAGAATTCAAAATGAATTGATTTCATTGAAATACTAGGGATATGGGGGCCATGTTACCTATAATTGGAGCCTTATCTTTGTATAGTGAAATTTGCATTTCTATGTCAACATTCAGATTGTTTTATATGTTAATATGGTGGCAGAAATCCCTAATAAACGTACTCTGGGGAAAAAATGTTTCAGCAATCATTTAGCTTTATTCACAGCAAAACTGTATAAATAGCCTGTTGGAAACTACAGAAAGGTGCCATCTAGGACCATGAAATGAGGTCACCCTTGAATGGTGACAGTGTGAAAAATATGACAGACAATGGATGGGAGTAATATTTTGCAGAAGCCAACCTGGCTAAAAGCAGGAATATTGGGTGTACTGGAAATACACCCATCTGAGAGACAGCTATGGCACCAAGGTAACTAGAGAAACAGAAAAAAATAGGAGTGTTCTGCATGACAGGTAGGAGGGAGGAGGAAGGATTTTAGAGTGCTAGAAATTAGTATGACACCATTTCTGGCCAGAAAAGGGTGTCTTCCTGTGCTAGGAATAGTTACGCAGCCTCGGTCTGCAACACTTGCCATTCACCTTCTCCTGCCTGTTCATGGCCCTGGGAGAATTTGCCTTTTCTATTCTACCCCTATCTTCTCCTCCACGCAGCATGGCCCTCTGCTTTGGTTTGTCACAAAGCTAAAACTGCACACCTGACAGTGAAATCAGAGGGTTTTATTCTGCATGAAGCAAAAGGGACTCTCTGTGCTACAGGAACACTATGTGTCCTGTGGAACTGTACCCCAGCTGTGTGGCCTCTTAAGTCTATCAAGTTCTCCCCCCCCCAGTTTTATTGAGATATAATTGACATATGACACTGTATTAGTTTTAGGTATACAACAATGATTTGATGTATGATTATATTGCAAAATGATTAAGTTTAGCAAAATCCATTACCTAACAGTTATAATTTTTTTCTTGTGATAACTTTTAAGATCTCTCTTAGCAACTTTTAAATATGCAATTCAGTATTATCAACTGTACTCACCATACTGTATATTATACCCCCAGAACTTATTATCTTACAATTAGAAATTTGTACCTTCTGACCCCTTTCATCCATTTCACCCATTGGAGGTGTGGGGGGTGTGAAGTCTGTCAAGTTCAAGTTCTTCCTCAGCAGTCCCCAGAGGTTCAGGATCTAGAGTACAGGCAAGAAAAGGAATCCGTAGTTAGTGTGCAGGCATGAGCTGACATGGACCTACTGTCCCAGCTCTAGTCAGTACCTTTTTGGGGGTTTAGTATCTGCAGACTGGAAGGCTCACACAAAATGGTCTTTGGCCACTTTTTTGTTGAGTGTTCCAGGCTCCCAACCCAACCTTGCCTCTTGGTAGAAACCCTTTCCTTATTCTATCATTTCTTGCTCAAATAAATAGAGGAAAGTTCTCTTAAACACACACTCCAGCTTGGAAGGAAAGTACTGGGGAGGAGCTTCCATCTGTGGGGTAATCTCGGGATGGTTATGATTGATGAATTTGAGACTCTTTGGGCCATCTTTCTCTTCTGGGTGGAGATATTGTGCTAAAAGTCCCTGCTTACTTGTCCTCCTGCTTCTCTCTCTCTCTCTTTCTCTTGGACCTGCTTTTGGGCATCCAGTCTCCATGCAGTAAACAGACCCAGCAGGACCTGCCCGTGGTGGGCCAGTCAGGACTCTGCTCTCCACAATCCAGCCTCGTTTGTGATGGGTTGGGTAAGTCTGGCGAGCCCTGCCCAGTGGGCTCAGCTGTCATCACTTCAGAGAGGACAAAAGAAGCCTCACTTGGGCCTCAAATCCCAGCTGTGTTCTCCAATCCATCAATAAAACTGATTTTAATCCTCTTTTGGCCAAAGTGTATTATTTCTTGGGAACTGGGGTTGGGAGGAGCAAGATTTACACTAAACACACTCAAGAACGTTCAGGATCTCTGCAGCCTCCAATGTTGCAAGGAAGGAGTGGAGAGGCTGCTCCTGGCTGACCCTCAGGCATCAGGGGATGTCTGCCACTGACCTCAGCATGTCACCATTTCTGGCCAGAAAAAGGTGTCTTCCTGTGCTAGGAATAGCTACCCATGCCTTGCAAATGGATGAGGGGACTTGGGACTTAAAATCTTAGTAAAGACCAGGGCATTGATTGGAAGCACACATCTCTACTTTTTACCTATGGCTGATGCTTATCCCAATATCACTTTGGAAAGAGAACCGAGGCCACTTTTCTGATTGTAAAGGAAAACTCTTAGAACAAAGGATAAGCTTTGTGTGAGTATCAAGTATTGAAACAAGTCTTGCAAATTATACAGCTCCTCCAATTTACACGGATCAACTGAGTCTCCTCATCTACAAGAATGATGATTTTGGCAATTTCAAGGATTTTGAGTTTTCCAAGGAAAGTATCCTTCAAGGAAGAAAATGATTATTAACATACTAGAGGCCTGGTGCGCATGCATGGGGGGCGGAGGGGTGGGGTGCCCCTCAGCCCAGCCTGCACCCTCCCACAATCTGGAACCTTTCTGGGGATGTCCGACTGCCAGTTTAGGCCCGATCCTGCGGACCTAACCACTCTGCCTGCCTGCCTGATCGCCCCTAACCATTCACCTGCCTACCTGATAGCCCCTAACCACTCACCTGCCTGCCTGATCGCCCCTAACCACTCACCTGCCTGCCTGATTGCCCCTAACCACTCGCCTGCCTGCCTGATCGCTCCTAACTGCTCACTGGGGGGTGAGGCCAGCTGGGGCGAGGAGCCGTGGTCATTCTGGTCTCTGGTCGTTCTGGTTGTTTCGCCTTTTTGGTCACTGGACTTTTATTATATAGGACAGACAAACCAACATTAGTTTCCACTCTGCTTGGCAGGTAAGTTCTTCATTAAGCGAAAAACTCAGTGTTCTGGTTAAAGCATCACTCTCCTGTAATTTCCTGGGGAATCAGCTTCCTTCCACCTTGAATCAGCCCGAGTGTCCTGACAACCCTGAGCTGCTGGTTTTGCAGCTGCAAACAATTGTGAGCACATAAATCTGCTCCCTGGTCACAGTATTACTGTATAATTTTTTGAAGAAACCAGGACTCTTTTGAGAGTGAAAGGGGATATTTTTAATGATTCTGTCATAGCAACAGGGGTCAACTAGGACTGATTCAGATACTCTGCTATACGGCTTTGCCCAATCAGCTAGATGCCCTCTTTTAACAATTCCTCCAGCTTGGTCCTCTAAAATATTGACAAGGTGAAATAGGGAAGGATTATTGCTCTATAGTCATAGTTCTCCTACTTGCCATGAAGAACCAGACTAAAGTTCACCAAAATTAATTATATCATGTGTTTTAAACAAGTCTTCTGGCATCAAATATTTAATGCTAAGTACTCAATTTGTTCATTTATAATGTTGATTTCTTGTTTGATGTGAGGCAGGTAGAGTTAGAATGATCTCAATGTTGCTTTCACCTCCGTAGTTCTGAATTTGACTTTTCTGAACTACACACAGAACAATGATGACTTGCTTAACTGTGAGCAAACGATTCACACTAAGGACACACAAAACTGAGTTGTACAAAAGCCAAGTTGATCATTTATCATGAGAAGTGCCAGTCAGCTTGGCACTAGTTTGCTGAATGCTCCACCCCTGCTCTTCCCAGAACATAAACTGTAATGTGAACCCAACACTATCAATGAGTACAAGGAATCACCACTGGAAAGCTGCCTCTCTGGGCAGTCTGCCCCAACAGACCTATCTCAAAAAGGCTGGGGATGCATTATATACATTTTATTCTAAATCTCCCATTTTTGCAAATTTCTTGTGGTAGAGGCTAGAAGGGGATCTTAACACCATTTCCTCATCATCCTGTGCCCAGAATTAGACTAAGTTTCCCAGCCTCGTGTACTTAGGTATGACAATATTTCTGATTTGTGGCCATTGGAATTGAACAGGAAGTGATCTGTATCACCTCCAAGTCCTGCACTAAGTGTGCACCTCCATTGCGACTAGATGTCAACACCTGTAGTGACTCTGAAGCCACCATTTTAGGATGTTGCAGTTACCAGCAACTTAGATCCCTGAATGACTGTGTGGAGCAGAGCCTCCCCTACCTCACCCTAAACCAGACCTGTCTTGGACTGTTACTTGAGCAACAAAGTCTTAACTGAGCAATTTCCAAGTCTTTTGTTGTCACCACTCCTTTCCCTCAGGAAGGAGACTATAGCTGAAAGAAGGTATCGGAACAGCTCAGCACTGGAGTTTCCCGGGAGATTCTACTAGAGAACCACTGTGCAGAGGGGAGGATATGCCTTCTGTGCCTGAGAATGCCAGACCTTGGTAAGGACCTACGTTTGGTGCTAATATATCTTGTCACTTTTGCTTTCTGGGGCTCAACTGAAACCTCACATAGTTAGAACCAAAAGTAGTCCACCTGATGGACAAAATCACCCCTGGGTGAGTTTTACCGGATTCAGAAGTGATTTCATGGGTGTGTGACCTGTGAATTTTATAGAGCCTGTTCTCTAGCATTTGGTGTAATGCTCTGCTCTCACCACCCTGAAATTCATAATAATTCTATCTTTGAACTTATGTTTTTTTAAAATATATTTTTATTGATTTCCGAAAGAGGATGGGAGAGGGAAAGATAGAAACATCGATGATCAGAGATAATCACTGACTTGCTGCCTTCCGCATGCCCCCCACTGGAGATGGAGCCCACAACCCTGGCATGTGCCCCCGACTAGAATCAAACCTCGGACCCCTCAGTCCGCAGGCCGACGCTCCATCCCCTGAGCCAAACCGGCTAGGGCTGAACTTATTTTTTTAAGTGAAGTCTGATGAAACAATGAAATGTACAGGAGATCAGTCAGGCAACAGTGGGCACCATGAATGCTGAGCTGTTGGCCTAGATGCCAGGCACAAACACATGCATGGGGTAGTCTGAGACCCTAGGAGTCCCCGAGGGGACTCTGCACCAGAACCTGAACCTGGATGAGAGAAGGCAGCTGCAGCAGAAGCCGGCCCTGGGAGATAGGAGGTATTCCACATAGGGGCAGCACTAAAACCTGTCGTGGGAGGCAAGCTTGCCCATCAGTCCCTGGAGCACATCCCTGAAGCATCTGCACAGATGTTAACTCTCTGGCCTGAGCACTGGTACCAGATCTGCCACCACTTAGGTAGTAAACACTTTCAGTAAGTCTACACATGGGCATTACAATACACTATCAGGAGTTATTAGAATTCTTCAAAGAGTTTAGAATCTCTGATTTTAAAAAGCACTGCAACATTGAAAAACATATCCACAGACTTAGAAATAGAAATTACATTTAAAGATCCTTGCATTTCAAAGAAATAAACCCCACTATTTTCATATAAAAACTTGCATGGACCAATTATTAACAAATAGACAAATGTAAAATTACTTTTCCTTGTGATTGAAGATAGAGTACAGTTGTCCCTTGGTATCCATGGGGAATTGGTTCCAGGCCCCCCCACAGGATACCAAACTTGTGGATGTTCCAAGTTCCTTAGATAAAATGGCATAGTGTTTGCATGTAACCTATGTACATCCTTCTGTCTATTTTAATCTCTAGATTACTTATAATACCCAATACAATGTAGATGCTACTAAACAGTTGTTATACTGATTGTTTATAGAATAATGATAAGGAAAAAATCTGTGCATGTTCAATAAAGACACAACCATCATAGACCCAACTATACAGTACACACCAACAACGTAACATTTTTAGAATGTTTTTGATCCATGGTTGATTAAGTCCACAGATGCAAAACCCATGGATATGGAGGGTTGACTGTATTAGAATTCAGAAATAGGCATTCTAAATTATATACAAATAATGAAACCACTTTCAAAATCTCTGCAAGTTACAGGAAATGTCAGAGGAAACATTAAAATGCCATTATATGTATTTATTAACATTTAAACTTACATTCAGACTTATAAAAAGCTGATTTGCAAAAAGAGTTAAATATTTTTAGAAAAACTGCTCTGCAAGAATTAGGAGCTCTAGATGTACTAACGTTTATAATTCAAAATAATTTACCAGAAATTTATCCTAGTGTTTTTGGAGCCTATAAAACTCTTAGCAGCACCAGTAAGAGTAGCATCAGCAGAAACATCCTTCTCAAAATTGAAAATTATCAAAAAATTATTGGTGATCTTGCATTTGTCAAAAGCAACTGATGAGCCCTAGCCGGTTTGGCTCAGTGGATAGAGCATCAGGCTGGGGACTGAAGGGTCCCAGGTTCTATTCTGGTCAAGGGCACATGCTCGGGTTGCAGGCTCGATCCCCAGTAGGGGCGTACCAGAGGCAGCTGATCAATGATTCTTTCTCATCACTGACGTTTCTCTCTCTCCCTTCCTCTCTGAAATAAATAAAAATATATTGAGAATAAACAAACAAATGTTCTCTCAAAATTAAAAAAAGAGCAACTGATGTTACTTTATTTGTATCAATTGAAAGTGAAACAGCTAAAATAAAAAGTTTTGATGGCCCAATAAATGAATTTGCAGAAAAATGAACCCTAAAAAATCTTATGATCAATCAATCAATGGTTGAGCATTGACCTATGAACCAGGAGGTCTCAGTTTGATTCCCAGTCGGGGCACATGCCTGGGTTGTGGGCTCGATCCCCAGTGTGGGGCATGCAGGAGGCAGCCAATCGATGATTCTCTCATCATTGATGTTTCTATCTCTCTCTTCCTCTCCCTTCCTCTATGAAATCAATAAAAATATACTTAAAAATCAAGATATTTATATACTAATGTAAAATCAAGTATAATTATTTATTGTATTATATAAAATTATGGAACCAAAATATTGGGTTTTTGCAATATGTAACATGAATG